ACCCAATCATAAATGGTAATGTGTAGTAGAGGGCACTCCCATTGTGACTACATGGCTTAAGTTTGGAGTGGAATTTTAATTTATCCAAAGAAGAAGCTGACTATTCTAAGAGACAGGAGACATTCTGGGTAGACAACCAAATAAATGTCCTTCATGACTGACAAATTCGATTGATGGTATTAACTTTATAGACTCATTCTTTATTTTACAGAGGAAAAATGTACTACTTAAGAATAACTGAGTCACTCAATGACCTGTTTCAACCATGGTCCATCATCACTTATAATCTCACCTTTGCAAGCAATTTTAACATCCGTGTCCACTCACCCTTCATCATAATTGCATAGTAAAACTTTCACATACCTGCCTACTCAGAATCTTTACTTGAGCAGCTAAAGATCAAAGTCAATCAACCCATAGTTGTACTGATGGATGTCATACTACATGTATGGCTATAAATCACAAATGGGCATTCAACAATTACTTTTCTCTGGTAATATTCACTTAAACACTTAGAAAAAGAATGAACAATATCTTCCTCTTCAGCCTCCTCTACCTCCTCCATTACTCTCAGCAAATGACCTTGCCTGTCTTCAATGGAAAGAAAGGAAATGATAAATGGGCATCATTTATAAAACCCTTTATGGTCGTCAAACACATGTTTGCCAGATATTTCCAGGTCTTTCCACCCTCTGTGTATATGGAGGTCCGTGCTTTCTGGCTTCTTCAAGTAATTTGCTCTGGCCAATGAGTTAAGAGCTAAATGATGTGTGTCACTCCAGAACTCTATTTTGCCCTGGTACGATAACCAGCAGTGTTGAAGACGGTAGCTGTTCAGTCAGGCTGGATCCCTGATGAACTACAATGCACAGAGCCTGACGTCTTGCCAAATAGGCAATACATGTACAGCATGAGTGAGAAATCAATTTCTATTGTTTTAAGTCTCTGAGATTTGGGGTTGTGAAAGTGTGATATAATATGAAATATATTATTGGTCTCTGACCTCTGATTCCTGGCACAGAACCTCTATTTATTTTTATTTTTGGAGAGATGGGGTCTTGCATGTTGCCCAGGCTGGTGTCAAACTGCTGGCCTTGAAAGTGATCCTCCAGCCTCTGCTTCCCAAAGTGCTGGGATTACAGGCATGAACCACTTGCACCTGACCTATCCTGGCACAGAGCTGCTAAAACTCTTGCAATTAGGGGCACTAGGATAACCTTTTGTTCTAATATTTGGTCTTTGACCCCAGTTCCTTACACAGAACTTCTAAGACTTTGTAATTTCCTGAGTGATATGAGCATCTGACACAGAGCTCCTAAATCTTTTGGTATTTCCTGGATGACAGGAGCATCTATTGCTTTAATGAAGTGATTTTTGGTGGGCTCCTGAATGGCCTCAGGATAGGGGAAACCAACCATGTGATTAGAGAGTTGCAACTTCAGCCCCACCTCACCTCCAACCTCCAGCAAGGGGAGAGAGCTGAAGATTGAGTTCATCACCAGTAGCCAGTGATGCAGTCAGTCATGTCTCCAGGAAAACCCAAAAGGACAGGATCGGATGAGCTTCCAGATAGCTAAACACGTGGAGTTTCCTGGAGGGCAGCACACCTGGAGAGGACATGGAAGCTCCACGCGTCTTCTCCCATACCTTGCCCTGTGCATCGCTTCCATCAGGCTATTCATCTGTATTCTGTGTAATATCCTTTATAAGAAATGGGTAAATATTCCCACTCTAGCCACTGCAGCAAATTAATCAAACCTGAAGAGTGGGTCATGGGAACCCCAATTTATAGCTGGTCTGTCAGAAGTACAGGTTACAATCTGGAACTTGGAATTGCCATCTAAAGTAGGGGTCAGTATTACGGAACTGAGCTCTCAATTTGTGTGATCTGACACTATCTCTAGGTAGATCATGTCCGAATTGAACTGGATAAATTCAATTAATTAATTGGTGCCTGCTGAGGACTGTTTGGTGTGGGGGGGATCCCCCACATACCTGGTATCAGAAGTGAAAGGTCAGCTGGCTGCAGGGGCTCATGTCTGTAATCTCAGCACTTTGGGAGGCTGAGGTGGGCGGATCACTCGAGGTCAGGAGTTTAAGACCAGACTGGCCAACATGGCAAAACCCTGTCTCTACTAAAAATACAAACATTAGCCAGGCGTGGTAGTGCATACCTGTAATCCCAGCTACTAGGGAGGCTGAGGCAGGTGAATTGCTTGAATCTGTGGGGGCGGATGTTGCAGGGAGTGAAGATCACACCACTGCACTCCAGCCTGGGCGACAGAGTGAGACTCCATCTCAAAAAAAAAAAAAAAGAAAAAAAAAGGAAGTGAAGGGTTAAGTGGGTCAAGTGACTTGTATCTGAGAACAGGAAAAGCATCGTGGTTTTTTTCCTGTCACTCAGGGGTTCAGATCTTGTACTGCTTCTCTTCACTATCTATAATTTCTCTTATTGTTTTTTTCATCTGGTCATATGGTTGTAATTATTATCTATACAGTAATCAGTGTCCTAACATCTGCCCAAATATAAGCTCTGAGTATGAGCAGGGTGGGGGTGGGGTGTAAAATTCCTAGAGTGCTAACCTGGTTATGTTATCAGTCAGTTTAAAAACCTTTAGACATGGGCGGGGAGGCTCTGATTAAAAAAACAAAACAAAACCTTAAATGGCTCCCCAGCCATTTGGCTTGTCATAAGTAACTTCACAATCTTCCCTCAATGTACTTCTCCCTTATGTCAGACCTACAACCCTCTAGGGTGAAAACTTAACTCTTAGTGATGCCTGGTTCTCTTTTCCTTTACAGCTTTTAATTTTTACAAACACTGGCACTTGGGGGAGGGGGCAAGGCAGAGGGAAAAAGGCTTTTCTTCTTTTTTTTTTTTTTTGAGATGGAGTTTCACTCTTGTCAGCCAGGCGCCAGTCGTCTCACTGCAACCTCTGCCTCCTGCGTTCAAGAGATTCTCCTGCCTCAGCCACTGCAACCTCTGCCTCCCCCATTCAAGTGATTCTCCTGCTTCAGCCTCCCAAGTAGCTGGGATTACAGGTGGCTGCTGCCATGCCTGGATTTTCTCTTCTTTTTTGTATTGTTAGCAGAGATGGGGTTTCACCATGTTGGTGAGGCTGGTCTCGAACTCCTGATCTCAGTGATCTGCCCACCTCAGTGATTTGCTGACCTCAGCCTCCCAAAGTGCTAAGATTACAGGCATGAGCCACTGTGCCTGCCTGCTTTTCTTCTACTTATATATATATATACACACACACACACACACATATATACATATATATTTATATATATATATTTTGTATATATATGTGTGTATATATATATATATTTTTTAAGAGAGTTTTGCTCTGTCACCCAGGCTGGAGTACAGTGGCGTGATCTTGGCTCAGTGCAGCCTCTGCCTCCTGGGTTCAAGCAATTCTCCTGCCTTAGCGTCCTGAGTAGATGGGATTACAGGCGTGTGCCACCACGCCCAGCTAATTCTTGTATTTTTAGTGGAGACAGGATTTCACCATGTTGGCCAGGCTGGCCTCAAACTCCTGACATCAGGTGATCCACCCGCCTCAGCCTCCTAAAGTACTGGGATTATAGGTGTGAGCCACCTCACCTGGCCTGAAAAAGGCTTTTCTTCTATCTAGGCCAGTTTCTCTGGCTTTTCAGTTTGCTTAGAGGAAGACTCCTGCCAACCCCTCCCTTTCCAAACCCCTTCCCACCACCCCCCACCCCCTCCCGCCCCCGCCACCTCTTTACCCTTTGTTTTGCCTCAAAGAGTAGGTGGCTGTCCCTCCTGAGACTGCACCGTTCTCAATGCTGCTGAGCGTCACAGCACTCACAATGAATTGTACTGACTGTTTCCTGTCACTTCTCTCTGCACAACTGTAAATTCTTTTGAGGATAAGACTTGGTCGAATTTATTGATTTATTTTTCATATTTCTAGTGTTCAGTACTGCCTGGAACCCGGGAGGGCCCCAATAACTATTTGCTGAGTCAGTGAATCAATTTTGATCTATAATTTGATGAAACTCTTTCGGTTTCTCCTGTGAAAATAAATCTATATCCTATCTCCTGCGAAACGGAGTTAACTCCTACCTGAAGACCAAAAAGCTCTTTTGTCTTCTTTTACATTTCTTTCTTTCTTTCTTTGAGACTGGGTCTTGCTCTGTCGTCCAGGCTGGCTCAAAGCAGCCTCGACCTCGTGGGCATAAGCGATCGTCCCATCTCCGCCTCCTGTGTAGCTGGGACCACAGGTGCGCGTCACCACGCTTGGCTATTTTCTGTTTTTGGTAGAGAGGGAGCTTTGCTATGCTTCTCAGGCTGATCTCGAATTTCTGACCTCAAGTAATCCGCCCGCCTCTGCCTCAGAAGTGCTGAGATTAGGGGCTTGAGCCACCTCACCAGACCTTCTTTTAAATTTAAATTAGATGGCCAGAGGTGGGGCAAATGCATAAATATCCTAAAAAGGATTTAAGGAAGAGAGTTCTGAGGTGTTTTTCTGAATTTAGAACTAACATTTCTACAGCATTTGCTTTCGTCTGCCTCAATCTCCACCAAGAAAGGATAAGAACTAGACTTTTACAAGGTAATTGTGATATTCTGAGCAGTCCTTGTGTATTTCAAACACTAAACAAAAAGTACTGAATTGATTTTTTGATAGCATAGAAAAGTGAAAATGGTTTGGTCATTTTATTTTGTTTTGTTTGTATGACACAATATCATCAAGCAATTGTTTGGTCATTTTTTGAGCATTAGTTTGCTTTGATATTCAATGATTTTTTAAAAACAGAAATGTTTGAGAAACATGTTTTCTTGTAGATTGTTTTATTTAATTGTGAATTCGATAATTCTCAATACTAGAGATGCAAAGTCACACACTAAAAGATTTCATATAAAACAATTCTTTAAAGTGAAAGCTCATTGACTAAGCCTTCGATTAAAGCATACTCAAACTAAAAACGTTTTCAAAATAGAATTAACTGTGAATGGTCTTTTTACAAACCTGGGAGTAGAGCCAAGTTAAATTCTCCTTCTAGCCAGGAGCCGTGGAAATGTGCCAAGGCATTTTTGAACTTGAGAAATCAAGAATTTTGACAAATGAAATACATTTTCTGTGATTGTAATTCATACTTTCAAGAATATCTGAAATTTCTTCAAGTTGCTTCCGTTGTCCTGTGCTGTGTGATTTCTTAGTCTTTCAGTATGTCTGCATGGGTAGACATAAACATAATTAGGCAAATCTGATTTGGAAACATCTTTGCAAAATCAACACTTAGAAGAGTTCTATAGAAGGGAGTTATTCCAGAAAAACAAGCCGCTGTGAGTTAGATTTCCAATTTGTCAAAAGCAGTTACCTTTAGAATTGTTCTTAGTGGGCCGGGCGCGGTGCTCCCGCCTGTAATCCCAGCACTTTGGGAGGCTGAGGTGCGCGGATCACGTGAAGTCAGGAGTTGACCAGCCTGGCCAACATGGCAAAACTCCGTCTCTACTAAAAATACAAAAACTAGCTGGGCGTGATGGTGGGCGTCTGTAATCCCAGTTATTCGGGAGGCTGAGGTAGGAGAATCGCTGGAATCCAGGAGCCGGATGTTGCAGTGATCCGAGATCGCGCCATTGCACTCCACCCTGGGCCACAGAGCGAGACTGTCTCAAAAAAAAAAACCAAAAAACAAAAAAACAGAATTGTTCTTTTTTCCTTTTTTTTTTTAAGATGGAGTTTCACTCTTGTCATCCAGGCAGGAGTGCAATGGCATGATCTCGGCTCACCACAACCTTTGCCTCCCGGGTTCAAGCGATTCTCCTGCCTCAGCCTCCCGAGTAGCTGGGACTACAGGCGTGTGCCACCACGCCCGGCTAATTTTTCTATTTTTTTTTAGTAGAGACGGGGTTTCACCATCTTGGCCAGGCTGGTCTTGAACTCCTGACCTCATGATCCACCCGCCTCAGCCTCCCAAAGTGCTGGGATTACAGGCATGAGCCACCGTGCCTGACCAGAATTGTTCTTAGCAATTATTTACACACTTGATCTTAGACAAAAGGCCGAGAAGCGATAGCAATTATTTACTGGTCCCAAAAGAAATCCTGTCTGGTTTTATCTAAGAAATGAGATGCTAAATTAATCCTTATATCATTGATTCACTAGTGTCTTAAGAGAGGCGATATATTTACTTGAACACTATTAATATTTTTGAAGTTAATCCAAATGTTTTAGTTCAAATGGTTGTGAATACTTCTAGAAAAGCACATTTGAAAGAAATGTGCCATGAGCCAGCGGTCCAAGTATTTACTGCTGTCATGGCACTTCAACTTTCTGTATTTGCATTTTCTTCTTTCTAAACATTTGTTTAATTGTCGTGATCTACTTGCAGTTCTCTTAACAACTCTTGTCCCACGCTTACAGAATCACCTGAGGAGGTTAACAAACCCTGCTCCACCCTTGCAAGCGTTCCAATTGTTTTCACAGTTTCAGCTTAAACATCTCACTAGTGCCCCTTGCCACTGGCAGTCTTTATCATAGATCTCAGCTTCCTACCTTGGCTTTCTCTATTTTGGCCTTGAACTTCTGGGCTCAAGTAATCCTTGTGCCTCAGCCTCCTGAGTAGCTGGGATTAAAAGCCACCATTCCTGGCTCTTTCTTCAAATTTCATATAAGTGGAATCATGTAAGTATGTAACCTTGAGTAGGGTAAGGGAAGTGCTTTTATCTTTCACTTAGCATAATGCTTTTGTGATTCTTCTGCCCTGTTGCTGGAGTCTGTAGTCTGGTCTTTGATAAAACCAAATCCTTTGAATGGCTACACTGCTATGTATTTATTCACCCATCTGCTGATAGACATTGGATTGTTTCCAGTTGTTGGTTATTGTGAGCAAAGCTGCTTTGAAGATCTGTCCTTACTAGTCTTTGTGTGAACATAGGAATTTATTTTTCTTGACGAAATACAGGAGTGGGACAGCTGAGTCATATGGTCAGTATTTAACTTTATACAAGACTGTCAGACTGTTTTTCCAAAGTAGATGTATCATTTTTCGTTCCCACCAGGAATATGAGAGTTACAGTTGCTTTGTATCTTTGCCAGCATTTGGTGTTGGAAGTCTTTTTAATTTTAGCATTTAGTAGGTAGGGAATGGTTTCTCTATGATTTTAATTTGCATTTCTCTGTTAGTTAATAATCATGAACATCTTTATATATATGGTAATTTTCCATCTACTTCTTGTTGGTTTGTTTCTTTGAGACAGGGTCTCCCTCTGTCTCCCATGCTAGAGTGCAGTGGCACCATCCATGCTCACTGCAGCCTCAAACTCCCAGACTCAAGAGATCCTCCCACCTCAGCATCCCAAGTAATATGGACCATGGGTGCGCACCACCACTCCTAGCTAAATTTTTGTTTTTTGTAGAGATGAGATCTCCTTGTGTTGCCCAGGCTGGTCTCAAACTCCCGGGCTCAAGCAGTCCTCTCACTTCCACCTGCCAAAGTGCTGGGATTACAGGTGTGAGCCACCGTGCCTGACCACCATTTGCTTCTTAGTGAGATATGCTTGGTTGTGATTTTCCATGTTTCTTTGATGTTGGGTTTCTTGAGTTTTTGTTTGTTTGTTTGTTTTTGATCTATTTGGTTTATAGTTTTCCTCATACTTGATAAACATTCAGCCATTATTTTTTCAAAAAATTTTTTGTCTGAACTCCCATCCCCTCCTTCCTGAGACTGTATGTGTGATGCATTTTAGGCCACATTATGTTGCTCTTTTCATTTTTCAGATATTTTTCTTCTGTTCATGTTAGTTAGTTTCAGTTGCTTTGTCTTCAGTTTTACAAGTCTTTTTTTTCTGCAGTGTCTTATTTGCTGTTTATCCCATCTGGTGTATTTTTCATCTCAGATTTTTCTTTTCATCTCTTTTTTTCTTTTTTTTTTGAGACAGTCTCACTCTATTGCCCAGGCTGGAGTGCAGTGGTGCCATCTTGGCTTACTGCAACCCCCGCCTCCTGGGTTCAAGTGATTCTCCTGCCTCAGCCTCACGAGTAGCTGGGATTATAGGTGTCCACCACCATGCCCAGCTAATTTTTTTTGTATTTTTAGTAGAGACGGGGTTTCACCATATTGGCCAGGCTGGTCTCAAACTCCTGACCTCAGGTGATTCGCCCGCTTCAGTCTCCCAAAGTACTGGTATTACAAGCTTGAGTCACCGTGCCCGGTCTCTATATTTTTAATCTCCAGAAGTTTAATTTGGATCTTTTTACATACCCCCTTTCTCATCACACTCATGCTTTTCTCCAACCTTCTTGAGCATAGGAAGTATATTTTTAATAACTGCTTTACTGTCTTTGCTGATTCTATTAGCTGTGTCATTTCTAGATCTGTGTCTGGTTTTTTGTTTTTGTTTTTTCCTGCTTGGCATTGGGACAGGTTTTATTGCTTTCTGTGCCTGTTAACTTATGAATAGATGCCACTGTTGTCAATTTTATGTAATTAGGTGTTGGACTTTTTGGTATTCTAATAAATATTTCATTAAATTACTTGAATTCTGTTTGATCCTTTTTAGGCTTACTTTTGAGCTTCTTTGTTAAAATAGACCTGAGGGCAAATTCAATCCCTCTTATTCCATCAATGGCTGGAATTGGAAGTACATCCAGAGTGGGGTTTCTGGTTGTTTATTTGTTTTAGAGACAGGGTCTTGCTCTGTTTCCCAGGCTGGAGTGCAGTGGCGTGATCATAGCCTGCTGCAGCCCTGACCTCCTGGGCTCAAAGTGATCCTCCCATCTCAGCCTCTCAAGTAGCTGGGACTATGGGAGTGCACCACCATGCCTGACTAATTTAGTTTTCTATAGAGTGGAGTCTATTTTGTGCTGGCTGATCTCAAACTCCTGGACTCTAGCAATCCTGTCTTGGCTTCCCAGAGTGCTGGGATGACAGGTGTGAGTTGCTGTGCCCGGCCCCATCCACAGTGTTTTTAACAGTAGTTCTCTCAGGCCTTCTCCTGGTAAATGAAACATAGCAACTTCATGATTTCTTAAAAAGCCAAATAATTTTGCAACAATATAAAAATATAAAATATAAAAATATAAAAAATATAAAAATATAAAAGAGACAATACTGAGTAGCAGCTAAGCGTCTCTCGAATGATACCTGATATAAATCTTATTTTTGTTGCCATGCAACCTGGGCTAGTTACTTAACATTTTCAGGCCCAGGTTTCTTCATCTGTGAAATACAGATAATGGTAATACCTTCCATTGGTTGGATAAGTTAAAGGAAATAATGAATACAACACCTTAATTGGCATTTATTATATACATTAAAACACCAGATTTCTTAAATATGTCTGGTGTTATGTTTTATTGTAGGAAAACTTAAAAACAAACTTGTAACCATTACCAAGAATGATAACTAAATATTGGGTACACAAAAGATGAAATCAAGTTTACAGTTAGATGGTTAAGTGATGACTGTGAAGTGGAGTCTGCACTGCAAACCTGCTCACAAATAATGAGATGCAATCTGGGCTTTTTGCTTCCCCTAATCTATCTCCAGGCTGGTGGATAAGAAACACGAATGACAAGATATTGTGACAAGAAAGAATCCTAGAAAGTATTTGTGAACCACATACGCAACAAAGGACTCCTATCTAGAATATATAAAGGACTCTCAAAACAATAGTAAATTTAAAAATCCAATTAGAAAACGAGCAAAGGACATGAGAGCAGATACAGATGACAAACAAGCACCTGAAGAGATGTTCAACTTCATTAGCCGTTAGGAAAATGCTAAATAAACTAAAATAGAATATCAGTGCACACCTATCAGAATGGTTAAAATCTTAAGTGCAGACAAGAATGGAGAACTGAGGTGGACTGACATCCCACCTTTGTCACTGTCACTTTCTTTTTGTTTGCTTGAGACAGAGTTTTGCTCTTATTGCCCGGGCTGGAGTGCAATGGCGCCATCTCGGCTCACTGCAGCCTCTGCCTCCTGGGTTCAAGCGATTCTCCTGCCTCATCCTCCTGAGTAGCTGGGATTACAGGCATGCGCCACCATGCCCAGCTAATTTTGAATTTTTAGTAGAGACGGGGTTTCTCCATGTTGGTCAGGCTGGTCGCAAACTCCCGACCTCAGGTGATCCACTCGATCCAGCCTCCCAAAGTGCTGGGATTACAGGCGTAAACCACCATGACTGGCCCCACCTTTGTCACTTCCTAACTGGGTAATTAATCTCTGGCCAATGACCCCCCAACCCTCTTCCTGTTTTCTTTGGAAAATGAGGGTTCTCATAGTGTTATGATTAGGAATTTTGATAAGTTATTGTAGAGACTAGCCCATAATAAGTCTTGTATCAGTGTTTGTTTTCATTTTTCTTTGCATAGTATCCCAATTATTTAGCTAAGATTTAACAAATGTTTAAATTCAATTATAAGAAATCCTTTAGTGTGCTCAGAACTCTACTAATTATCT